AGCGGTTCTGTACTGGCGCTATGAGTTATGGATCAATATCACTGGAGGCGCATACAACCCTAGCAATGGCCATGAACAAGCTTGGAGGAAAGTCAAATACAGGTATATTTTGTTTTCTCTATGATTTTTGTATTTTTCTTGTTCTCTTAAAAAGAAAACTAAGACATCATCTTATGATCTACTTAAGGTGAGGGAGGGGAACTGCCATCCCGTATGGAGCCCCTTGCAGATGGTTCAAGGAACCCTAAAAGAAGTTCTATCAAACAAATTGCTAGTGGAAGATTTGGAGTTTCGAGCTACTATCTTACAAATGCTGATGAGCTGCAGATAAAGATGGCTCAGGTGCTTTAAAATTTGGCTTTGCATAATGTTTTCTCATTCTCATGCCTTTTGCACATCTTTGGAATCCTACTGTCTCTATGCCTTTTTTTGTTCATAGCAGATCACACTTTTTGCACAAAGTAGTTATATGTGCCTAGTCAAAAGATTTTTTCATGTTGGATCTTAATATTGTTTCTAACTAGTATCTCTAATGCCATACAGGGTGCCAAACCTGGGGAAGGTGGGGAGCTACCGGGCCACAAAGTTATAGGAGACATTGCTATCACCAGAAATTCCACCGCTGGTGTAGGACTTATCAGTCCACCTCCTCATCATGACATCTATTCTATTGAGGATCTTGCCCAGCTAATTCACGATCTTAAGGTACCTATATGTTTTTAACTCTTTTGAGTCATTCTCCATCGTCTTTCTTCCATTTTGTGTAACAATTATTTCTCTTATCTCGTTTAGAATGCCAATCCTGGGGCCCGTATTAGTGTTAAACTTGTATCTGAAGCGGGTGTTGGAGTTATTGCTAGCGGTGTGGTGAAGGGCCATGCTGACCATGTTCTGATAGCAGGTCATGATGGAGGTACTGGTGCATCTCGCTGGACCGGTATTAAAAATGCTGGTCTTCCGTGGGAGCTGGGTCTAGCTGAGACACACCAAACTCTTGTTGCTAATGACCTTCGTGGCCGTACTGTTCTTCAGACAGATGGTCAGTTAAAAACTGGCAGAGACCTTGCAATTGCGGCTCTTCTTGGTGCTGAAGAGTTTGGTTTTAGTACTGCACCCCTTATTACACTTGGGTGCATCATGATGAGAAAGTGCCACAAGAACACCTGCCCTGTGGGAATTGCTACCCAAGATCCAGTTCTCCGTGAAAAATTTGCTGGGGAACCTGAACATGTTATTAACTTCTTCTTCATGCTTGCGGAGGAAGTTAGGGAGATCATGGCTGGGCTTGGTTTTAGAACTGTAACTGAGATGATTGGTCGTGCAGATATGCTTGAACTTGACAGGGAAGTTGTCAAGAACAATGATAAGTTGGAGAACATTGACCTCTCTCTTTTGCTCAGACCTGCTGCTGAGATTCGTCCTGGTGCTGCTCAGTACTGTGTCCAGAAACAAGATCACGGCTTAGACATGGCTTTGGATCAAGAGCTGATTGCATTGTCGAAATCTGCTCTAGAAAAATCTCTTCCAGTGTACATTGAAACTCCAATCTGCAATGTTAACCGGGCTGTTGGAACAATGTTGAGCCATGAGGTAACCAAACGTTACCACTTGGCTGGGCTTCCAAAGGATACAATTCATATCAAGTTCACAGGAAGTGCTGGGCAGAGTCTTGGAGCTTTCTTGTGTCCTGGAATTATGTTAGAACTTGAAGGTGATAGCAACGACTATGTTGGAAAAGGTCTCTCTGGAGGTAAAGTTGTTGTCTACCCTCCAAAAGGAAGCAGTTTTGATCCAAAAGAAAATATTGTTATTGGTAATGTAGCACTTTACGGGGCCACTAGTGGTGAAGCGTACTTCAATGGGATGGCTGCTGAAAGGTTCTCTGTTCGTAATTCTGGTGCCAAAGCCGTTGTGGAAGGTGTTGGTGATCATGGTTGTGAGTACATGACTGGTGGTACTGTTGTGGTGCTTGGAAAGACTGGTAGAAACTTTGCTGCTGGTATGAGTGGTGGTATTGCTTATGTCCTTGATGTTGACGGAAAGTTTCACACCAGATGCAACCCTGAACTAGTTGATCTGGATAAGGTTGAAGATGAGGAGGACAAAATGACACTCAAAATGATGATCCAGCAACATCAACGACACACTAACAGCCAACTTGCTCAAGAAGTTCTTGCAGACTTTGAGAATTTGCTACCCAAGTTTATCAAGGTGTTCCCAAGAGATTACAAACGTGTTTTGTCAGCCATGAAACATGAAGAGGTATCCAAGCAAGCAATAGAACGTGCTTCTGAGGAAGCTGATGAGCTGGAAGAAAAAGAACTCGAGGAGAAAGACGCCTTTGTGGAGCTGAAGAACATGGCAGCTGCTTCCTCAAAAGAGGAGATGTCAGGAAATGGAGTGGCTGCTGAAGCCCCGAAGAAACCTTCTCGGGTAGATGATGCTGTTAAACACCGTGGTTTCATTGCTTATGAGCGTGAAGGAGTCAAGTACAGGGATCCCAATGTTCGTCTTAATGATTGGAATGAAGTCATGGAGGAATCAAAACCTGGACCGCTTCTTACAACTCAGTCAGCGCGTTGCATGGATTGTGGAACTCCATTCTGTCACCAGGTATATATCCTCAGCCATTTTTTTATCCTTCCTAAGTTGTCTTCATGCAGCTTATTTTATCCTCCAAACACCGAATTGCAACAAGGTGTTTCATGAATATATTCTCAATATTTTTGTTTTTGAAATTTTTTCAGGAGACCTCTGGGTGTCCCCTTGGTAACAAGATTCCTGAATTCAACGAACTTGTTTACCAAAACAGATGGCAGGAAGCCTTGAATCGTCTACTTGAAACAAACAACTTTCCTGAATTTACTGGGCGAGTATGTCCTGCACCATGTGAAGGTTCTTGTGTTCTGGGAATAATTGAGAACCCTGTTTCAATCAAAAGCATTGAATGTTCTATCATAGATAAAGCCTTTGAGGAAGGGTGGATGGTACCAAGGCCTCCTCTGAAGAGAACAGGGTATAATTTTAACTCTATTTTCGTAGCAAATTATCTACTGTTGCAAGTCACTTAGATTGCAACTTCTTGTTTTGTTGGAGTTTACATTTCGTGGATTTACATGTGCTTCTACTGCATATTTGTTTGCAGGAAAAAAGTTGCTATTATCGGAAGTGGACCGGCTGGACTGGCTGCGGCTGACCAGCTGAACAAAATGGGCCACTTAGTAACAGTGTATGAGCGCTCTGACAGAATTGGTGGACTTATGATGTATGGAGTCCCAAACATGAAGACTGACAAAATTGACATAGTTCAACGGCGGGTTGATCTTATGACCAAAGAAGGCATCAACTTTGTGGTCAATGCCAATATTGGAAAAGACCCGTCTTACTCCCTTGATGGACTTAAGGAAGAGAATAATGCAATTGTTCTTGCTGTTGGTTCCACAAAACCAAGGTACTCTTTTTTTTCTTCTTTTAAACAACGGAAATTCCTTATTTGTGTGACCGGAAATATATTCAGATTAGAATGAAACTGAGACATTGTTGGGTAACTTTGCAGAGATCTTCCAGTGCCTGGTCGTGATCTATCTGGTGTTCACTTTGCCATGGAGTTTCTTCATGCAAACACCAAAAGCTTGCTTGATAGTAATCTTGAGGATGGCAATTACATTTCTGCAAAGGGGAAAAAGGTTGTCGTTATTGGTGGAGGTGATACCGGCACAGATTGCATCGGAACATCTATCCGCCATGGATGCACCAACATTGTAAACCTAGAGCTTCTTCCTCAGCCACCTTCCACGAGAGCTCCTGGAAATCCTTGGCCACAGGTTTGTTTCAGATCTTCTACTCTCAAATCATTTTTGCAACTTTAAGACTTTGCATTTCATAGGTTAAAAAAGCTGTGAGCATATATGGATATTGTTGATTTAATGAGCTTCCTTATGTTATTCTGAGTACAGTGGCCTCGTGTGTTCCGTATTGACTATGGACATCAAGAAGCTGCCACTAAATTCGGAAAAGATCCTAGGACTTACGAGGTCTTAACCAAACGGTTCATTGGGGATGACAACGGAAACGTGAAAGGGCTTGAAATCGTAAGAGTGAGTTGGGAGAAGGATGAAACCGGGAGGTTCCAATTCAAGGAGATTGAAGGTTCCGAGGAAATAATTGAAGCGGACCTCGTTTTCTTGGCCATGGGTTTCCTTGGACCTGAGCCTGTAAGTGTTTTTTATTCTGTTACCCTCTTCTTCTACATTGTGGCAATAATTGTAAACCAATGGCTTGGTTTTTTTTGTTCTTACAGACATTAGCCGAGAAGCTGGGACTCGAATGCGACAACAGGTCGAACTTTAAAGCAGAGTATGGCCGGTTTTCCACAACGGTAGAAGGTGTTTTTGCAGCAGGTGATTGTCGCAGAGGCCAGTCTTTGGTTGTCTGGGCCATATCAGAAGGACGTCAAGCTGCATCTCAGGTCGACAAATTCCTCAGCAAAACCGATGATGACGAAGACGCCAAGCTACAGCAAGGACTTCACCAGATGAAGCAGAATATCAAAAGCTGAGATAAATAAGCCTTACTCATCTGAAGCAAAAGTCGAGAGAAAGACTATCGATTTTGCTCTTTTAGAGACAGAGAGGCGAAAAAGACCGACTGATGGCAGAGATGCAGAGAGAAAGAGAACTAGATTTGATGGTTTAGAAGAGAAGGAAAAGCTTTAGGTTGTTTTTGTTTATTATCGTCCATAAAGTAATAATGATTTATAAGTACATTCTCTTAGTAGGATTTTTTCAGTAGCTTTCTTTTGGTTAAAGCTTTCTGAATTGAAGGCCTTTTGTTTTTTTCTCTATGGCTGTTTCTGAGTTTGATTTTAAGGAAATGGTAATGCATAGTTCCTTTGTTTATGCTTTTCTCTCTTTGTGTTTATTATGGTGGAATGTGTAATGAATTAAGAAACTAAACAATGGTAGAAGTCATAAAACTTGCATCATACTGTTGGAATTATTAGTGAACTTAATTACCTCTTAAATCTACTATGATACAATAAGTGAAACTTTTTCTAACCCAACAATTTGAAGGTTGTGTTTCGGGCAGTCGTCTAATTTTCTAAGTCCTCTGTTGTTGTCTCGTCTTCATCAAAACTACAAAAGACAAAGCCCAGGAAGAGAAAACCAAAAAAAGTCAAGAAAATATTGAGTGAAGCGGTGAAAACAAGAGAAAAAGGTGGCTCCTTTTTGTTTCTGGAGATGCGTTTTGTAGTGTAGTGTGACTCTTCTTTGATTTGTAGGGCTTCTCTACTCGGATTACGAGTTCGGCGTGTTTGAATCTCAGTGGGGTTTTCTTCTTTCCTCAGAAAAATTATCCGATTTGGGGAAATGGGTGATTGGTATCAGTTTGCACAGTCTGTAATATTAGGTTTGATCTTCGCTTACCTTCTAGCTAAGCTAATCTCTATCCTCGTCGCGTTTAAAGACGAGAATCTCTCACTCACTCGCGACCACTCGACTGAATCGGAGTATGAGAACTTGCGCAAGGTCGAATCTTCAACTGGGATTGGCGGCGAGACAGAGTCTCTTGTGGCGGAGCAAGGTAGCTTGAGAGGTGAAGAAGATGATGATGAATCAGATGATGAGGACGACGATGATTGGGAAGGTGTTGAAAGTACGGAACTTGATGAGGCATTTAGTGCTGCTACGGCTTTTGTCGCTGCTGCTGCATCTGACAGGCTTTCCCAGAAAGTATCTAATGAGTTCCAACTTCAGCTTTATGGATTGTATAAGATTGCTACTGAAGGTCCTTGTACGGCTCCTCAACCATCAGCCATCAAAATGACTGCTCGTGCCAAGTGGTTTGTCTCACTCACACTCTGATTTATATGTTTTGACTGTTAAGTTGAATGGTTGCTCATGTTCATTTATGATGTGAGAATGATTCATGTCTATCTTGATGTCAACAAGTTCGTATCTTGCATAAAGGATTGTTTTTTTGTTGTTGTATTGATTGGTAATCTGATTCATGTGTCTTGACTTTGAAGGTCCATTCCCTTTATCATGTTCGACATGTGATGTACTGATGATTCTTAATCGTGGATGTGTCTTGCATTGTGAAAGCATAGAAAAGGATTGCTTTTTGTTGTTGTACTGATTGGTGATTTATGGGTGATGCTGTAGATTTGGTCATAGAAATGCGTTTTGATTGACTGAGACTGTTTTGTTTTAGGCAAGCATGGCAGAAATTGGGTGCTATGCCTCCTGAAGAAGCAATGGAGAAGTATATTGATCTTGTTACTCAATTGTATCCAGCTTGGGTAGATGCTGGTTCGGTTAGTTGTCTTTACCCTTATATTACGTTTCTTCAGACTGTTTGTAAATGATCTGTTTTATTTCTTGAATATCTATCTTGATTTCCTGGCATGTTTGCGGACTTTTAGAAGAAAAAAAATCGGACTGGTGATGCTCCAGGCCCCATGGGACCAGTTTTTAGCTCATTGGTGTACGAAGAGGAATCAGAAAATGAGTTGTAAGGTTTCTAAGCAATTAGTTACGAATTATGTTGAACTTTGATTTCTGTAAAGAGCACTTTCTCCCCGAGTTCTCTATATTACTAGGGAGAGACGAGATCAGAGAAGGACTGTATATATCATAATACTCACCTTAGGTAGATCAGAGAATCATGTGTTATTTTTAATCACAGCAGAAGCTCTGTTCATTCTTGTGTTTTTACTCGATGCCATTTATGTTCCAGGAAGATTGATGCCATACACGCCTTTGCTAGAGAAGGAGAAGTCGAGAATCTATTGAAGTGCTTAGAAAATGGCATACCCGTAAATGCAAGAGGTTAGTCTCTCTATTTATATAATTTTCGCAAATGTTTAGATATGCCTCGGAAATTTCACGGTAACTCCATCCTTGAAAAATGTCAGATAGCGAAGGTCGAACACCGCTGCATTGGGCTATAGACCGTGGCCATATGAATGTTGCTAAAGCTCTAATTGATCAGAATGCAGATGTGAACGCTAAAGTAAGTAAATAAACAAAACCCAAATCCATTTCTTACTCTCAAAATGCAGATATGTGGGCTGTGCTTTAGCTGAGAAAACGTTTTGTAGGACAATGAAGGCCAAACATCTCTACATTACGCTGTTGTCTGCGAAAGAGAAGCAATCGCTGAGTATCTAGTGAAGCAGAAAGCCGATACAACCATTAAAGACGACGACGGAAACTCGCCTCTTGATCTCTGTGAATCAGAATGGCCTTGGATGCTAGAGAAGAGAGATTCCAATTAGTCTCTAAAAAGAATTGTGGTCTCTCAAATCAATGTCTCAAATACTAGATACTTGTCTTTTTCTTCTTTTTTTTTTTACCTTTCTTCTGAATCTTTGCTTCCTCCAAAGTCAGTGTTTTTAACATACGGAGTACAACACACATTACATATACAACAAGTAACTAGTTTTATTGGTTACTAACATACAGAGAAGAAGAGACGAGATCATCATTTCATCATAGCCCAATAATTAAAAAAAAGATATAAAGTTGTTTTATATTTATTTATATGACAGCAATGCTAAAAAAAAAGTTTAATATGATGTTTTTTCCAGCCATCTTAATCATTATTATTAAGAATTTCATATCTGTATATTAATTTTGTTGATTACTTCTCAAATAAGTATTTATCTTATTTTTTTATTTTTGTACCTTCGGGGAGCAAAAAGAAACAATCAGGACCGTTGATTCATCGAACGATGTCAGGAAATCGAAAAGATGAGAATATTTTAAGGTGGGGGTTCAGATAAGGACCACCCAACACTCGATGTACGACATAATCTCTCCAGATATATATATATATATATATATATATATATTTTTTAATAAATTCGGTTAATTAATAAAAATAGATTTTTTATTGCGTCATATTAAAATAAATAGTTTCCTATTAAATATATATTTTATAAAAAAATTAAGATACACTGAACAATCCGTAAATATAGGATTGGAAACAAATTTTCAAAATTTAAAAGTTATACATAATTATCAAAAAAATCAGATTTCTCATAATTATCAAAAAAATCTTTGGTACACTTAACAAATCCTAAATTTTAGATTGAGTAAAATATATACACAAAATTGGTAATAAATTATAAAAATTAAAAGATTAACATAATAATTGTCAAAAGTAAAAAAGAGATTTATATAGTTTTAGATTTTTATATTAATAATAGTTTTTAATAATAATTTTAAGTACATCTTCACAATTCACATCCTATTCTTTTCTTCTCTCTCTCTTCCCTTTTTCGCTGGAACTGTTTTTTTCTCTCTCTTCTTCTCCTCTCTCTCTCTCTCTCTCTCTCTCTTCCGTCGCTGGGCTTCTAGGGTTTGTCCTCTCAGTCTTCGATTTGCCGCTTTATCCGATCGGCGCCGCCGAGATTTTAGGTAAAATCTTCTTCTTTCACTTCGTTTGTTGAGATTTCTCCTAAAGATCCATCTTCGGATTCACTAGTTCCCAATTCGCGTTTTTTTAAAAATTTTAATTTTTGATTCGATCTCGATTCATTTAGTCATTGATTTTGAAGTTTCGTCTAGATTTGCTTACTGTGTTGATTAGGATTTTGAACTAGTTCGTATCTGGGATTAGCAGCTTCTAGATTTTTATTGATTTGTTTATTTATTCAAGTCACACTAGTTGATTTGGTCTTGTTAGTAACTTAGTTGATTTCTCTGTATATTCGATTTCGTGCTCGGATCTGTGATTTTTGCTATTTTATTCGATTTTTGTAGTTTTTTTTGTTAACTGGGCATAGCTCGTCCTTTGATGTTAGATTGCTCCGTGGCGTTTTTAGTTTGTTAGTCTCTTCATGTTGTTGGCTTTCTCCAAAGTTTTTTTTATATGACTTAATTTACTGATTCTATATCATAGTTTCTCCAAATTCTAAATCTTCTATATGTAAAATGTTTGGTTGTTGTTTTTTTGGAACTTGATCGAGAAGGAAGTTAATTTAAGTTTTGCTAAATCTGTTTTATTGATTGCAGATAAAACCTATGGCAATGGAGGTTACCCAGTTGCTCATTAATGCTCAGTCAATTGATGGAACTGTACGTAAGCACGCTGAAGAAAGTTTCAAACAGTTTCAGGAGCAAAACCTTGCGGGTTTCTTGTTGTCGCTTGCTGGAGAGCTTGCGAATGATGAGAAGCCAGTTGATAGCAGGAAATTAGCTGGTTTAATCCTAAAAAATTCCCTTGATGCTAAGGAACAACACAGGAAGTATGAGCTTGTTCAGAGATGGCTGGCTCTAGACATGTCATCAAAGTCGCAGATCAAAGCATTCTTGTTGAAGACACTTTCGTCTCCTGTACCCGATGTTCGTTCAACTGCATCTCAGGTCATCGCCAAGGTCGCAGGTATTGAGTTGCCACAGAAGCAGTGGCCTGAGCTCATAGTATCTCTTCTCTCCAATATTCACCAGTTGCCAGCTCATGTCAAGCAAGCCACTTTGGAGACTCTTGGATACCTATGTGAGGAAGTGTCACCTGACGTTGTCGAACAGGAGCATGTAAATAAGATACTCACGGCTGTTGTTCAGGGTATGAATGCGGCTGAAGGTAATAATGATGTTAGACTTGCCGCAACCCGTGCTTTATACATGGCTCTGGGATTTGCCCAAGCAAATTTCAACAACGACATGGAGCGTGATTACATCATGAGAGTTGTGTGTGAAGCAACCCTGTCCCCTGAGGTGAAAATTAGGCAGGCGGCTTTTGAGTGTTTGGTATCTATTGCTTCCACATACTATGAAAAGTTGGCGCATTATATGCAAGATATATTCAACATCACAGCCAAGGCTGTAAGAGAAGATGACGAGTCTGTTGCGCTACAGGCAATTGAATTCTGGAGTTCTATTTGTGACGAAGAGATTGACATCTTAGAAGAATATGGTGGTGAGTTCGCTGGGGACTCTGATGTTCCATGCTTTTATTTTACCAAGCAGGCTCTCCCTGGGCTTGTGCCTCTACTGCTGGAGACCCTTCTTAAGCAAGAAGAAGATCAAGATTTGGATGAAGGGGCTTGGAATATTGCAATGGCAGGTGGGACATGCCTTGGTTTGGTTGCTAAGGCAGTTGGAGATGATATTGTACCACATGTCATGCCGTTTATTGAAGAGAAAATATCAAAGCCTGATTGGAGAGAGCGGGAAGCTGCAACTTATGCTTTTGGTTCCATTTTGGAAGGCCCTTCTGCAGATAGGTTGATGGCAATTGTTAACGCAGCGTTAACATTTATGCTCAATGCTCTAACAAATGACCCAAGCAACCATGTGAAAGACACTACTGCATGGACCCTTGGTCGGATATTTGAGTTTCTGCATGGTTCAACAATCGAGACACCAATAATTACCCAGGCAAACTGCCAGCAGATTATCACAGTACTGATCCAGACAATGAAGGATGCGCCTAATGTTGCTGAGAAGGCTTGTGGGGCTCTATACTTCCTTGCTCAAGGCTATGAGGATATTGGTCCCAATTCTCCATTAACACCCTTCTTCCAGGAAATCATTAAGTCACTACTTGCTGTTGCACATAGAGAGGATGCAACTGAATCACGCTTGCGGACTGCAGCTTATGAGGCGTTGAATGAAGTTGTCAGGTGTTCGACTGATGAAACGTCGACCATGGTTCTGCAATTAGTACCAGTGATAATGTTGGAGCTTCACAATACTTTGGAACGGGAAAAGCTTTCATTGGATGAGAGGGAGAAACAAAATGAGCTGCAGGGACTTCTATGTGGATGCTTGCAGGTCACCATACAGAAATTGGGTTCTGAACCAACCAAGTATGTGTTCATGCAGTCTGCAGACCAGATGATGGGGCTTTTCCTGAGAGTGTTTGGCTGTAGAAGTGCAACTGCACATGAGGAAGCCATGCTTGCCATTGGCGCTCTTGCTTATGCTGCAGGCCCTGATTTCGCCAAATACATGCCTGAGTTTTACAAGTACTTGGAAATGGGTCTTCAAAACTTTGAAGAATACCAAGTGTGTGCTGTTACTGTGGGTGTTGTTGGAGATATCTGCAGAGCATTGGAGGACAAGGTTTTACCTTACTGCGACGGGATTATGACTCAGCTTCTGAAAGATTTGTCGAGCAACCAATTACACCGTTCGGTGAAGCCACCTATATTTTCCTGTTTTGGTGACATAGCACTTGCCATCGGTGAGGATTTTGAGAAGTACTTGAGGTATTCAATGCCGATGCTTCAGAGCGCCGCAGAATTATCTGCTCATTCGTCTGGAGCTGATGATGAAATGACAGAGTACACAAACTCATTGAGGAACGGGATCCTTGAGGCTTATTCAGGAATATTTCAAGGTTTCAAGAATTCTCCAAAAACCCAGCTTCTGATTCCTTTTGCACCCCATATCCTCCAATTTTTGGACAGTATATACATGGAGAAAGACATGTAAGTTTTTTTCCGACACAATTGAACTATATATTAGTCGTAACAGTTGATTAATTTTGTGATAAATGCTTTCTGACAGGGACGAGGTGGTGATGAAGACAGCAATTGGGGTCTTAGGAGATTTAGCGGATACACTAGGGAGTCATGTGGGTGGTTTGATACAACAGTCAGTGTCAAGTAAAGAGTTCTTAAACGAATGTTTGTCTTCTGAAGACCACACAATTAAAGAAGCAGCCGAATGGGCGAAACATGCCATTACCCGTGCTATTTCTGTTTGAAGGCTCTTGTTTGCCTTTAAGAAAGAAAGAAAGAAAGAAAATTCCTTTTGCTTTTTAGTAAAGTCTGCATGCATCTCTGGGTGGGTTGAGTCGGTCGGGGAGGGTAGAGCTGCAACAGCCGAGTCACATCAGCATCATCATCATCATCATCAGTTTCATTTGCATCATCAGCATTACTGGGGGTCAGTCAGGGAATCGTTGAGTCGTGGATGGGGGGGAATGATGAGTTTTGGGGTAAATAATGAAACTGGAGGAGTCGCAGGTTGAAACTTTCCCGGGTTAGGGAAAGCCCCCCGTCGGGGAGTAGGAAGAGGAGGAGTTGTGGTTTTGGGACAAAGTTTTACCATAAAAAAAAAAGAGGGTTTCATCGAACATCATTATACATTCAGCAAAATTGTTTTTTTTTTTCTTTTCTCGCATATGTTCTTCAACCCCTTGAGGAGGGAAGAGGTCTCAGGTTTTTATCAAGTGGGGGCATTATTAGAGGACGATCCCTTGATTTTTTTTTCTCTTTTATTATTTGGTTAGTTGCAGTCTTTGCATCATCATTTTGTCTTTGGGGGTTTGTATGTTTGATTAAAAGCATTATTTACATTTTATTTTTATATGAAAAAGTTTCACATGTCTGTCTATATCTTCCCTTGCTATGCAGCTTTAGGGGTTTTGCATACACTTATGTTTTTGTTTATATGCATGTCACATACAGGAAACATTTATATGGTGTCATGTCTTAGGCTCTTCAAAAGGTCCACATATATCTTTGTTTTTGCAATGAACTGTTGTCAATCTTTTAGATTCCATCATTCTATTAGCTTGGCTCGAACTATATGGGAAAGGTCACATGTAAATAGGAGAAAAAGGTCCTCTGCCTTACTCTGCTTCCAAAGAGTCAAGTTAACAAGAGGAACATCTCACATCACTCTGCTTACAAACGTTTATGATACCTCAATTTTGATTGTTTGTATCAAATTTACTTTTTTAAAAAAAATATGTGAACACATGAATTTGAAACAATATAAACAATTCAAGTTCTGGTTTAGATATTGTATTTGTATGTTAAATTCTCTCAGTTCTATGTATTAGTACCAAAACATATTCTGAAGTCTCTCGTAGTGTCAAAGTCATTGAGCAAATCCTTCTTTTCTAATTGATTTAACGTGAGGAGCTTTTGGGCACTGTTGGCAAAGTTTACTTCAAAGTGATGATGACATACTCATCAAGATCTCACACTTAAATGGACACTATACTACATCTTCCATTACGAAAACTTATAACTAAACATCCAAGAGAAATAGGACACGCCACTCTTGACTTAGCCAAAAAAATAAAGAATTGGTGGTATAATTAGAGAAGTGGGGCTTTTCTATTGTCAAAAAGACTGTCCAACACGCACACAGTTTCATCCATATTATTATATTATGTCGTCCGCGACGATTTTTCTCATATTCAAATAATATTCATAACGGCGTTAATACTTCTTTATGTTGAGACTTTAAACTCAATACCACCGAAAGATATATCGAGATTTGTCACCTGGAAACAGCCAAAAATGTGAAAGATCTTTGATAATGAAAGATCTCCAAAAAAAAATCTCACGAAACAAGTTACACCGTCCAAAAGAAACAAAACTATTCGTCTATGCATGAGCAGATAGATGAGCTCCAGTTTTTATGTTAAGGTTATGTTGATAAAACTAAAACTACACTTAGTTATGAAAGAGAGTGTGTAATTAATTGTGTATACCGAAACGAAGGATATATTTAAGAAAAGTAGTGAAATATAATTATTAGTCTTTGTAATTTTTGTCTTTTTTTTTTTTCTTATTGAAAACTAGTAGTAGCTAGACGTACATTTTCTTCGTCTTTTCTGTGTGTGTAGTCGACATTAGACGTATGTTCATGATTAGAACACATTTAGTGGTTTCGTTCGTTCATTAGTTTTTTTTATTCATCACTCATTCACTACTTTTTAAAACGCAACATATTATTGCCGACACATTGATTTTGTTTTCCCTATATTATTTCTCTTTCTTTCTGAATTCGTGCATAATCTACATGTTTTAATTAGCTTGTTAAGGTGAAGCTTGTTTGTATATAATTAATGCCAACGATTTTGATTAAGCAATTTGGTTGTTTTTAGTATATATGCATAGTCTACTACATACATTAGTTTTATATATGAAAAAGTTTATAAAATATTTGTTAGGAATAAAAAAGACCATATATGTTCTATAACCACCACTCATATTTTCAGTTATTTGGTTATTTTTGGGATATAGTAGAATTATGGAGTTTTAGGTCATAGTATTATGAGAAAAGATGTTTACTATTAATTGTATAAACTATTAATTGTATAAAATAAGATTTTTTTGGGGGATAGTGGTGTATCTCACTGTAATGGGTCACTTAAAAAAAGGTGCACTTCTCTGATACATTTGCAGGCCACTCGCTATGTCTGTCTCAATCCTAGTTGACTTCTTGTAAAGTTGTTTGAAGGCCGAAATGGAAGGATTAGTTCCACTATTTCTCTCTTTCTTATTTCTGTCAAATTTAATTAGTCTTTGGTACCACGGATTTTTATATATATTTGCCCTAAACCATCTTTTGACTTTCTAATTAATTTACCTAAATCCACTTGTAATATACTAGTTTACTTCTCTGTCTAGAAGTTGCCTACCATGTTGGTTTAATTAGTAAGTGATTTGTTTTTACTAATGTAATCTACATATATCTATCTATCACTGTAAAGTTTCACATATACCGCAAAAAAAATGTCTTTCTTCATATTAAATTTGAACTTATAATAAGTCCCTATTTCATATGCATTATTAGTGTATTGTTATACAACTATGTTGATCAATACTAGAAGCCACACAAATTATATATCAGTCACAAAGTGGATTAAAAGACTTTATAAAAATAATTAAAGCACTAATAGTGTGTTCAAGTTTGGGTATTTGTAGGGTCTTTGCTTAAAAAAGTATGTACCCTTGGCCTTGCAACAAATTAAAACTTCACTTTCGTTTTGATTCATTAACAGCATTAAGAAGGAAAAAAACTAACAATAATTACGTACGAGTTTGGTATGATTCCATCTTTGCTTTTTTGATAATGGACCCAATTATCTTAAGCAGAATTCAATTTCCAATAAAACTTTGCGTCGATAAGTAGACTTATGATCACACACGTGGTGCACTCATCGAACATACTTATAATACATTACAGCTGTGTGGGAAAAAGTAGTGAAAACAATGGGCTTAAAAGTTAAATTAAACCTTAGATAAGAAATTGATCATGTAACCAAATATAATGAAACTTTTTGTTTTAGATCAAAATATTGGGTTTTTGACTAAATTCGTTTAGAATAAAACAGAACTATTATAGAAAGAGGAACTATCTAAGTAAACTATACTGTTTAGAGAACCCGGTTTGATTGGTAACAACAAATTTAGATGGTAAAAGGATAGAAAATTTTAGATAAAAAAAAAATAAACTAATTAGAAAGAATGATTTGAAGTAAACTAGTATAATGTTAGAACGGATCACGTCTAAAAGTAATATATACCTAGCTATAAGTGTAACGTTAGAGTAACTTAATTAGTTGGAAGCTAAGATGAACCAATAAAATTTGGTCCTAGTATATATGGCCAAGACAGGAACTTCCACTTAAGTTAATGAATTAGGTCACTTTGCTTGCATCAAGAAAATCTAATTTTTTTCCATTATGAATTTGAACCACACGAATAACCAACCTTATCGGAAGGCTTAGCTTAGGATACAACTCAATTCATGTATTTTGATTGTTCATCATGCGCATGGTTCACAAACATTTACAATTTAGTAACTTTGGGCTGCCTAAAATCTTGGTTAAAAGATCATCATATCCAGTGTGTTTCAAAAATTTTAAACGACATTGATGTATATAGTACGTATGTATATCTATATAAGACCGTACAATTAATTAACATAATCATAAGATAAAAAAATCGTAGATAATTGAAATTTTGAACAATGTCATGCGAAAAAAGTGTGCGTATGAGCTGATATACGTTTTTATTTTGTCCACAAGATTAAATCGTAATGTGTTCCTTTCTGGGAGATGTAAGTAACACAATCAACAGTTGAGTTGACTTCTTTTACTCAACTTTTTCTAGGGTTTTGTTGTGGGTTCATTGCGTTAACCCAATATCGATCTTCTTATTCATATCTCATTATTCTCTTTTCTTGCTACTATCATCACCATTTTGATGTTAGTCTCACCACTGTTTAAAAAAAAAATTAAGGTGTTGACATTCACGTGATATTCGTATTTTAAAAAAGCTTAATTTGATAAGGGCTTTTACATGTTTTCATTATCATAAACAGAACCAACCATCTTAGTCATGGTCATCATCATTGTCATTGTCATAGTCATCATCATCATCACCATTACGACTATATTCATTATGGACCAAAACAGCTTCCACCACATATACTTGACCCGTTTATAAAATGGAAACTATCCTTTCTCCCCTCCTCTCATATGCAAATCCCATTTTCTCCTCATTTTCCATTGATCAGTTACATTCTCCCTTAAACGAACAAAGAGTACACATATAATATGCCTCTTAGGATCAAACCCATATCTTTCCTCTTCCTCATACTCATCGTTTGCTCTTATTCATCATTAGGTAAACATATATTCCTATTCCATACTTTTATGTTTCGTCTTTTTACTTTGTTGAAAGTGTTTTACCTATAATCGAGTTTACGTCCCAACACAATCCATCTCAGTCCAAGAGATCAGCTTTTGATATTCGTCTTTTCTTGATCTTGTTAAACCAATTACCTCACTCTAACTTGACAACATTCGTTAATTACTGTTATATTAATAGAGTCACGCCATCGAATACTATTTCATCTCTCTCTTCAATATTTATTTTAACTATCGATATATATATATATATATATATATATATTAACTTGGAAAATAGTGTATAATCCACTAATACAATATTTTGTTTTAGCCATAGTGGAAGGCTCAATCCAGATCGGAGGCTCAAAGATGCATGAGATCAGTTTCAAGCTCTACAAGGTAAACCTGTTAATATATGTGATTATAAAATACTAGGAATGTGATATTTTGCGTCCAAAATATAAATAAGATCCATATTGGTTTGTAATTTTATATATATAGAGTGAGGAAGTGGAAGCCAAGAAGATGAGTCATAGGAAGTTAATGTTCCACTCGACAGCAGACTACGACGACGCAGGACCAAACCCTAAACACGATCCAAGAAGAAGACCCGGAGGCAAGGGTTGAACTGAATCTTCATCAACAACAATGAATCATCTCTCTATCTATATATATACATATAATATAAGTTAGTAGCATATGCACTAATATGATCAATAATATGAATGTGTATGTATCTTTGTATGTGATATATGTATCCTCCAGTTCTGATTCTTTTTGTTTGAAGATGAGAGATCTCAGTGTACAATACCCTTCGGAAACGCGTTCGTCAAAGGAGGACTATAGTGTCTAAAGAAAACATACTAAATCTTATTTATTTAACATATATATATATAGTCGTCATATGTATTCTGTGTACTTTGTTATATATATCAGAAAATAAATAAAGATCGTGTTATGGTTGTTTTTAATTATACGCAGCTAATAATCATATGTAATCCAAAAATCAGAATTTAATAATCTATTACTATGTTACATATACAGGTTCATCATTTCAATCTCAAAACATATATATATAGAATATAAAAAAATTTAACAGCTGGACTGTAATCAAAAGAATGAAAAAAGATTGTAACTCTCTGTATATTCACCAAGAAAAATATATAAACAAATTGCGCATCCAGGGAATCGAACCCTGGTCAGTACCGTGGGAGGGTACTATGATACCACTACACCAGATGCGCTTCTTGCTTTCCAACTAACAATTACATATTTATTCAATTTAGTTAGTATGTCCATGAGCACACAACACTTGAATTTGGTTGTGAACTTTGTAACTCATACATGTTTTGCAGAACATATCTATAATTTACACATATAACACTTGGTATTGAAAAACAGAGAAAATGCTTTATATGTTTTGGTTACAGAATTTACAAGAATTGGATGATACAACAATCTCATAACTCTCTCAGAATCCTATATCCTTCAGCCTTGGCTCACTTTGTTTCATACAAATCTTTTGTGTCAAATCTCTCAATCCTTACATTTATAATAAACATTCAAATCAGATATTTTCTCTCTTCTCTCTATCTGCAACCCAACACAAGTCTTCCTTCTTCGTTTATTGTCTCATTCCTACATATTTTCTGAAGGTCTATGTAACCAATGATAGTGTCCTCAAAGACCACATCCTCTAGATTCGCCTCTTCGAATGTCGAACCGGATAACACAGTGTTCCTGAACACCGCACCTTTCAGATTCGATTTCCCAAAATTAACCCGATCGATAACAGCATTCGAGAAATTCACCCCTGCAAAAGGATCAATATTAAGCATTACCACATGCTTCTCCAAGTTTTAAGTGTACAAAGAATGTTGTAGATAGATAGATATATATATATATACCTTTAAAGCTTGCTTCAACGGCATAAGCTTTTGACATAACAACTTCAGTCATGTCTGCACCATCAAACTTGGCACCTACCATCAAGGCTGCAGAGAGAGTCTTGCCTTTGAGGTTAGTTTGATCATTTGTGTAGTCACAGAACCTAAGATCTAACGGTTTGTCATAAACACCATTTGCTTGACCAATCGTATTACCAACAAATGCTTTCTCACACCGATCTGGTTCTGTTGAAAGCGGAGGAAGTCTCTGAAAAAACAAAAAAAAAACATTCTTCATCAGTGATTTAGTTCTTGAAATCCTTAAAAACATCTCTATCCTTAAACCGTCTTAAACCAATCCATTAGCTTCAGAACTTTGTTTCAGTGCATAATTACACATTCGTAACACAAAGAGACGGATCAATTCAGACTAAGGCTATAGCTATAAGTGAGCAAGTAAGTTCCTAAGTACACACACAACAAGAACCTAGAGAAGAGACTAGAGAAAAAGGGACATATATAATGTGGACATACCTGGTTAGCAGCAATGACAGGAGAAGCCATAGTAATAGTACAAGCACAAAGAGCAGCGCAAGCGATACATCCAAGCTCCTTTATCGACAATAAACTCTTCTTGATACCATTCTCTCCTCTGTTTTCTCCAGCTGAGAGAGAGCATAATGCAAACAAAATAAATAAAAATCAAATTTTTGGGTTTGATTAGAGTTTTGAGCTACAATTAGTAAACTCAGCTACAGTGTTGTATCTGCTTGAATCGCAAAACCAAGAAGAAGTAGAAGAAACAATAAAAGCAGAGAAACGAAAAAAGATGACTTTTTTTACCGGAGCAATGTACAGTTGTGACTAAAGATCTCGGCTCACGGCGGAGTTTTACGGAGAAACACGGCGAAGATAGATTATTCCTGGTGAACTGAACAGGAAGCGAAGCCATTGGGGGATCGGATGTTTTTTCAGATTTTTATTTTTGTTCGAACTCGGACAACCGTAGAGTTTTATCAATTCGTTATGGATCATGCCTATGACGTGGCAATGAACAGGTCATATTAAACTATTTAGCCCATTGGGCCGATTATTATTTGGGCTAGTTAAACACCTAAACCTTTTATAACTAAACTACTAACATTATTGTTGTTGACTTCTAGCTATGTATGATTTACCATGCTAAATACAGTTATATTCAAAAATAATAAAATGAATAAAAACTAAATATTTTTAAAGGAAAAATATCTACGTATAAGGGTTCGTCCTTTTTTCTTTTAGGTTTGAGTTTTTCTCTCTTGTATTTAATTTTTTATGTTTTTTTTTATGTTTTTCTTCGATAAAGGTTTGACTCCAGGAAATTCATGATTTCCATCGGCTTTGACTTCGGAAAATTTTGACTTCGTCTGTCAGCTTGAGTTTCCTTGTTTTGGGCTTTGTAATCTATTTTGGTGTGTAAACCAAGTTCATCAGTAAAGTTCCGGTTCACAAGAAAAAAAAAGTTTTGTGTAAACTAAAATATATTTTTGTGTAAAAAATAAATTATATATATGTTCACAATATTATTTTTTTGTTATGTAGCTAGTAAAAGATATCTTGCTTCTTAATAAAAATATATTTTACAAATTTAAGGTTATATATTATTGTTATTAACACTTTGTATATATTTTGTATATACCTTAAATTATCATTAGTAAGATTTTTGTTTCCAAAGTTTATTGGATCCTTCTAGAGTTCTAAGGTTAATTAAAACCCTAGATTTAGAGCCATATATATAGTTTTTTGTTCCTTTACTAGTTATCACGTACGTACGTACCTTGACCGTGGCTCCTCCGGCTCCGACAGATATTGAACAGACACTCACACGTGTACAAGAACAGATCAACCAGTTGACGATGATAGTGCAAGCTCTCGCCCTAAAGCAGAAGGATAACATCAAAGTCCAGCCACAAGAAAATAACCAAAACCCTATCATTATCACGGACCATTGTGATATTCCAGAATTTCATGGTAAGCAATCGGCTGAAGAGCTTCGCCAGTGGATGGTCACAGTCGAAGAGGCTCTCGAGCTCAAACGTGTACCTTTGGATTCATGTGTTCCCATGGTTGCGATGAGATTCCGAGGCACAGCCGCAGCTTGGTGGTCGCAACTAAAAAGGACGCGGGCAAGTTTGGAGAAACCTAAAATCTTGTCGTGGGATAAGTTGAAGAAGAAGATGCGCAAAACGTTCTTACCATTCAACTACGAGCAAGAGATTATCAAAGGCTTACAGATGTTGAAACAAGGATCTCGTTCAGCAGAAGACTATTACACCGAGTTTTTCTCGCTATCGACGCGTGTTGATATGAACGAGACGGACCAAGAGACTGTGGCTCGTTTTGTTGGTGGCTTGGGGCAAGAGTTGAGATACCATCTTAACTTGTTGAAGCCTCTCACTCTTGCGGAAGCACGTCAACAAGCTCTCATCGTGGAAGCACGTCAACAAGCCCTGAGAAGATGGGACTTTTTTGACGATTGGGAAGATCTTTTTGTATTTTTGTGGTTTGGGCTGACAACGTTTGTCATGTTCCTTGTTATATTTTAGACTTTGTTTCCAGAGTCTATGTACAGCTCTCTTTTTTCTCTTCTTTATAGCATGGGAAGTCAAGTTTAAGCATTTTGTTCCCAAAGACGCCTTCACTATTCACGAGCTACGTTAAACTACAATCTCTAGTTGTTTTTTTCTTCTTTGGTTTAACAGTATATATGTACGGTTAAAACAAGTTTTACTGTATACAAATATATACAGCTACAATGTCCCGGAGCCTCTCTCTAAGGTGGAGGAGAGTCTTTCTTACAATCTATTGATTTGTCTCTTTTAATAAGCGGAAATCAAATCTAAGAAAAAGCTATGATGAACTCATCTACACGTTAGAAAATCAAATTATACAGTACACAGAATCAACGAATCAATGATCACTAAGTTAGAAACTGATCAAAATCAAAATCCTAATTAAAGAAAAGGATCTTAGGAGAAGCCATTGGAAGATCTTTCTTGGGGAAGTAACGTCAACATCTTTCTCCTTCAACCACTACTTTCCATGATCACTTGCCTCTTCTTTGGACCCTACTACACTCGCCTGTCAATTCTTTCAGACAAATCCGTACTGTCTATAAAACCATCTCCAACCGCCACTAATTGCCAAAAACAGAAACATCTGTTCCTTATCATCCCCTGCGTCTACATCAACCGATTGAAAATCTCCCACTGACCACTTCTTGAAAGATTTCTACAGGAGCATAATCTTGAGAGAGGAAGTAGCACATTTTATGAATCACTTTTTGACTAATTGATATCTCCAGAGATCTAAGAGTGGATCTGGTTTTGGACCCACCATAGCTTCAAGATCTGCCAGAACCATGTGCTTGTGCCTATCAAGAAAGGAACAATGGCATCTGATTGTTTTTTCCAAAGTTAGGAAAACGAAACCGATTTTTTGCAAGTAGTCACAGGCAACCCATAGTTCTGAAATGTTCTGATCTGTCCATCCCAACCGCCTGTGACTATGACCATACCCCATGACAGAGAGCTAGATGCTCTCTGGTAAGAGGATTTGAGAAACTTGTAATGAGATGCATTCATGGCGGATGTAGATAGAGGATTTTCTGGTAGGTTTTCCTCTGGCCATGTCGCGCTTCCTTTGGATATTGATCCGGGGACAAATCCTTCGTTGAGAGATAAACAAGAGGGTGAAGAAAACGGGAGAGTTGTGCTATGATCTGAGAAGCCGCACCAGGTAGCTGCAACGGATGCATTGGCAGAGAAACGTTCAAAAGATCGAATCTTTTTGGTTTGGGAAGCACAATCTGATTCCTCATCGTTACTCCATATATATACTTTAGAGTCCTCACAAGCTGAAACAATATGCTTTCCATCAGATGTGAGAGACGCTGATGTGAGGCTTCTTGTCTTCCTAACGCCTAGCGAACAAAAAAAAAGAAGCAGAGATGATCTTAGTTGAGAATCAATCATAGAGATATGAAAAAAAAAAATGAACGTTGCGGGTAACATAAGAAGAACATACCTTTGTATTTTCTGACGACATTGTTGCCTTGGAGAATTCTGACTTTGGAATCCGCGGAAACAACCAGAACTTTGCTTGGCTCTTGTGGTAAGAACTGTAAAAAAAGAAAAAGATGCATATCCATTAGGTAACGTCTCACAATGTCAAAAGAAATAAACTTAGTATCAAGGCCAGGGGAAGGAGACATTACCTGAAATCCAGTTATCCGTTTGTTGGAAGACTTCTTTTTGTTATGCAAATGTATCTGAGATTCCAGTTCTAAATATTCTCCAGACATGTTAAAGAATCTGCAACTTCCGGTCAGACAACCGATAATTCCTCCCTGTCCATCTGGACGATAACACACTGCGGATATAATGTCTTTGAGATCGGCCCAATCAATAACGTTGCGACCAGAAATGTTCCAGATTCGAACTTTTCCATCAATTGAACCACTCATGAAGTAATTCTCGTTTACGGGGTTGAACTGAATAGAGGTTACTGCAAAAAAAGAAAGTTACCAGTGATAGATAATGTCAGATCTATGAAGTAACTGAGATTTTTTTCCTAATGTAATCACCAAGAGGAGGAAGAAGCATACCATAACTATTGTGAGGGAACACTCCAAGACAATCATTGCTACCGACTTTCCATAACCGAACAGTTTTATCCATCGAAGCCGAGAGAAGATACTACAGCAAGAAATTACATAACAAATGCCTCAGTTTCTTAAACTTCCATTTAAGCAATGGTTGCAAAATAATAAGAAAGTGTAAAAGATTCTGGAAGCTTACATTATCTTTTGACCATGAGATGTCCAAGACTTCACCCGTGTGCCCACGGAATTCATATAACGGTTTTTCCATTATCCGGAAAACTTTAGGAGGGAAGACAACGCAGGCTGAATTAGATGTTTTCCTGAAACTTTCTGAATCCTTCTTTGATTTTTCCTCATCCACTAAAACTGGTTTCAACTGGGAAAGATCGTTTACCTCAAAGTACATACACGAAGGGTCTAACTCGTTCAGGCAGTCCCTTCGTAGTCTAGATCTCTTATCTTCCAGGACTTTCCACACACGCACAATCCCATCTTCACCAGAACTTGCAAGAAACTTCCCATCTCCGCTAAATTTCATAGCCAAGATGGCACCATCATGAGCTTGAATGTCTTGACTCTGATAAAGAGCTGAAAGCTCCTTTGCCTGTTTCTTACAATGCTTAACCTTAACTCTTGAAATCACATCACCAAAACTAGAAGAAGCTCTGATTCTACCACCAGATTCAACCTTTGTATCCGCCGTACACCCCATAGACCACAGCCTCGTCAACCATCCTTTCTTCCTCTGCTTCTCTGTTTCCTTCACTTGACAATACCTGGAATTAGAACATGATGCCATTGAAGAGCTTTGCCTCCTCGTTACATCACATCCACCCACATTTTTGTCTACTCTCAAAGACAATTCTTCGGAAACATCCACACTTGAACCAGACAATGAAACTCCACTAGAAGAACTGCTTAAACCACCAGATCTCTCCTCAGCTTCTTCACCAGAATTCTCTTGAGCTCCATCAAAACTAGACTCCACATTAGCTACAGAGACCGAATCCTTGGACTGAACACGATCTTGCTCAACTCCCATCCACTCCAAGAACTTCCTCCGCCTCTCCACCACACTTCCAGGTGACTCATTCCATACATCAAAACCAAAACCACTTGGAGTTGATGGCATCATCTCCTCGTTGGCATCGAAGAATTGCAAATCTTCCTCTTGAGACAAGTAATCCATTATTCCTTGAGGGAAGTTCAATCCATGAAACCCAGCTTAAAGAAGAATGCTTTTCTCTCAAAAGAGGAACTTCCCCAACTGCCAGTTTTGCTTCCAAACAAGCAACCTACAAGGCAAACTATATATATAAAAGTTTAGAAATAATATTAAAAATTAAAAAATTCGTCAGAAGATTATAAATTAAGCAATCACAGAGTTCGAGAAAATAAACAAAGAGTTCACACAAATAAAAAATAAAATAAAAAAGAGTTGAACATCAATCTCAATCCAAAACCCATTGAATCTAGTCTTTTATCTCTATCGTTCTCTCTCAGAGGCATTCCCACAAACAACTTATGTGGGTCGATCAATGTGTAAGCAACGAAACCAAAAACAACCCAATCAAAAGAGAGAGAAAACAAAATGGTTTCAAGCACACAGAGAAGCTGAATTAGCAAAACAAAGTGAAAGATCTCATTTTTAGATCCTAAGTAACAAATCCGCAAGCGTAAGCACGAGCATCATCAATTCAATAACAAAGATTTAAAATTTCGTACATGGGTTTGTTCGTCTTCACAAGGTTTCTTCGAAAATGGAACAAACACATCCCAATGAAGTAGCAGGAGTATAGTAACCAAAGCCCAGAGAGAATTAAAAACAAATAAAGTAAAAGAGAGAACTTTAATTAAAAATAAAAATAAAATAAAAAAGAGAGAGAAGAAGGATCAAAGTTTTTTTCTTTTTTTTTAATTGAAATCTGTGAAGAAAGAGACAATGAGGAAGAAGATGAAGAAGAAAGGATTTGTGTTGTCCGAAGGGAAGAAGAGATGAAATTGAGAGATTTTAGAGACGAATCTTTTTGTGTGTGTGTGTGTCTGTGACCGTTTGATGTGCCTTATTTAACCTCTCTGTCTTTATTGCAATTCTTTTTTTGTGTTTTTGTGTTAATCTTAATAATGATTAATTCGGTAATAAATCTATTAAATCACACGAGCACGACCAAATATATCTTTCCTAGAATGCTCTGGTAATATTAATGATTGTTAGTAAAATCTCTCCATGTGTTCTGTCTTGTAGTAGTAACAATTAATTACAAAAATCTTTTAATTAGTATATTTGTTTCCATTTTTCTATTGTCAGTATTTCTCTTTTGTTTTACTTTACTACTCTATCCACCTTAACACATTTCTAGAAATATATCTTTTGGATGAGGAAGAAATCTAAAAAATGGATTTGGAAGGTTATGTTTTAAGGAAATGCTTAGACCTGGAATCTATTAGATAATTTTAAATTCTTACTTTGGTTTGGATATTATCAGATTTGCTTCAGCTTGGATTACAAATTTTAGAATTATTTACTACCAAAAAAAATAAATAATTTTAACTATATTTTGACATATATAATAAATAAAATTTAGATATTTTGATTATTTAAAATATTTAAGTATAAAACTAATTAATTAATTCAAAATTATAATATACCAGTATCCTACTCGAACCGGTTTTTTTGTTCGAGTACGGTTTTTTTTGTTCATGCCTAGAAAAGCTTATGGATTGTAACGAAACTGTAATATTAAGACTTTAATCAACATTCGGATTTTTTGAAAGATCTTTCAATGGTAACTAGCAAAGGACCGTCGTGGTGGATACTCATCATCATCATTCATCAAAATAGATTCTTAAATACATCAATCAATCTCTCTCTCTCTCTCTTCATCATCTGATTATTTACTAAGTATCAATAATGTTTTTTATATATAACAATAATGTTATATATTCGTTATGCGTAGACATCTTAAAGAAAAAGAGAAATTGTAAATTTTTCTTTTAAAAGTATATTTGTGGTACATGCTTTGTTGGAGCCCCACATATCTGCATGATGACTACGCGGCATGTTCCCCATTCGCTTTGCCTTTGATCGAATTTGATTCTTCTAATTAAGTTCTAAAAATCGTTTTAATCTCAATTAGTATATCTGTCATATTAACTACTTAATTTTCCAGTTGTTTCGATACCTTAATTATTCGTTTCGTTCTTACCAATACATACAAACTAGAGTTCCTTTCTTACAACTCTTATATATATAGTGCTCTGTGATTTGTTTTGGCAGTTGTTACTACTCTCTAAGTTGATCATCTTATAGAGATTTTAGATTCAAAATAAGGATAATTTTGCTTTCAAGGTTGGATAAATCATTCATGGTAACGATCGATTTAGAGAAATGGATACAAGAAAAAATTAATCAAGAGAGTGATGAGGCTTGTATAATCATATAAATGTACCATATATGTATATAAACTAAAACCGACAAAGATTAAATCGAGTTGTACTATATATCTGAACTTTTTTTAAAAATATATTAATTACTAGTACTACTAATTAAAGACCGTCATGGCTGAGCTAAGTATGTCTTCCTGTTGAAGCAAAAATTCACAAGTAGACATTAACAAAAGCAATAATTTTTAATTAATTAATGTAATGATGAAAATAATACACTGCCTTTAGAGTTGCAAAGGCAAGATTACCTGGATTCATGCAGGCTTGTATTGTAAAGAGAATATCTGTTGTCCCATTTACATCACATTTTTTTTCCTAATCTTTTTTAATTTCTCGACTCTTAATTGTATTGTGTTACTTATTATATCGGTTAAACCAAAGATCTTCAAGATTTTTCTTGATAATAATGATGTTATTATACATGCATCATTATATTATAATTAATACACACTATGGGCAAGTTGGTTTGCTCCTCATACTATTTTCATCTTCATCCGAGTGGACCAAGACCCATCCGAGAGGACCGAGACCCGAGACTCTCTTAAGGAATTATATATTAGATATTAGATTTGTCTAAAACCTAACAATTATTTTCAAAAGAAAAAGAAAAAAAATATTATACGTAGGAATATACACTTTGAACAATTTCTTCATATCTCCATCGAAATTTATACCATGATGAGATTGACTTAGTTATATGTATATAAGCTTTGAATAATAACAACGGATAAAGCGGTCATCACTGTTTGTTACTGTCAGGTACCATTTTTTCATTCTCAAGTTTAGTTTTGTCTCTTGTAACACAGATATAACACAACTCTATATATATTGAAATCATTTAAAACTTGGTTTATTAAACGAAAAGAAACATGTTGGCTTATTGATAGCCATCAAATTTTTATCCTACCGTATCTAGAAATTCATTTCTAAACCTTATCTCCTTTGTAAGACAACTTATAATAAGAGTTCTTTGTCCAAGTAAAAAGATGAACTGTTTGTGTCCAAGTAAAAAAATGAACCCTTGCTAATTTAGTAATATGTAGCATCTATAATGTGCTGATGTGGCTTGCCAACTAGGTAAGCTATCTATCAGATACAACAGTTTAAAGCGCACGTACGACCACCCATCTTATATATTTTATATTTATTGTTACAGGATTATTCACTATAGACTATACTATTATATTTGCATATTGGTGTATCGAGTTAGAGAAATATATTTTCAAAAAAGATACGGTTCATAGAATGGCCACTTCATTGCTTTGGTTGTTGAAACGTTGATAATTCTTTCCTTCATGTTCGTCAAACTCAACCAGATTCTCCTAACCTTACCAGCTTCATTATTATCTCATTATAGTGTCCTGTCACTTTTCTAATTGATTTAATTTTCTTTTGTTTGTTTCTTTAGAAGTTAGAACAATAAAAATTAGCTTATGATTTATCAACGTCGAATAAATCTCAAAGATATCATAGAGATTGTTTCATTGAAGTTTCCAATTTGTATTCATTCATACAATCATATACTAATTGTTTAGTGTTTGTAATAACTTTAGCTAAGAGTTAAAAATTATGACTAAACACGTGTTATGAAAAAGTAGTCTAGCATGATCAAGATTATGACATTAGACATGAGTTGTGCTGTGAGTATAAATTAGCGTATAAAAATGTTTTTAAACGAAATGACTATAGTAAAGGGGTGATTAACCTTAATTCGCTCTGCCGACATTATTAACAAAACTAATAAAATAGTAATGTAATGCTTAATAATCTCGCCACCGCATTAATTAGAATATTTCATAATCATATGGAATATTCTTGTAGACTGAAAGAAAAAGAATATTCTAAATTATCTAAAAAAATAATTAACAGCGGATTATCTTAGTGTCGATTATATAATACTCATATTAAAGTAAACAACACTTCATAAAGACAATAGTTTTGATAAAAATTTGCATGTCATGTTAAAATGCGACCCTTACCCGGAAGATTGGTTAATCTGTTAACTTACGCATGAGCTATTCATATTGTATAACCAAAGCTTCGATGTATATACATATATCAGAAAAATATTTGAATTACGAATACATATTTTTATAATTTTATTCTTTCATACACATCCTAATGGTGGTGATCATCATCCGCTTACACAGCATAATTAGTGTATAATTACAAGTTAACAAACTTAAAAGAGCAAATTTCTATATATATTACGTAGGTGCATACGTGTTGTGTTGTCTCTTCCCGACGTGGTTAAAAAACTACAGACGTGTTCACTTGCGATGTTCGACTCATAAAGCTATAGCACCTAAGCTTCTCTTGTACGGACTGAGACGATATATACTTTTGGACCCACTATATCATACAATATTGGAGCGTAGTATCTAGCCATTTTGTGAATAACGATGGAAGATACGTATGAACTTTGTACATACGCGTATATAGGTGTCGGTGTATTGTGATGAAAATATTTAGTCAAAGTTGACTTTGGAGTTTGGGAGATTGAACATGGAGCTTCACTAGTTTCTATGTTGAAGATAGTTATGCCACACATCTACATTATGATATATATATAGTTGAAGTTGTGGTATGAATAAGTCAAAGAGGATGATAAACCATACACCGGTTTCTTATTATAAAGTATGGTTTCTCTATTGATCTATATAGATTGATAGTTATACCAAACAAACCATTCTGAAATAAATATCGTTTAATTTGGATTGTTGTTTTCATTTATTAAATGTCGCTTTGCATAGATTGTACATAAATAATAATAGTTTTGTATACATATATTAATGAATTTATTTTATTTTCAAGTATTTGATAAATATTTCTAAATGAATACATTGACAAGTTTATAATATGAAGGATTAATGTGATTCGGCGAGTGGGTCAGGAGATAAAGGCTAATTCCCTTTCTGATGGAACGTCCCAAAGTTCGAGACGCATCATGTGATGTGATTGTGCTATGTATACCTTACCTTACCTTATACGCGCATGTATGATTAGGTGTGGTCGTTAATACTATAACTAGATACTAACCTGTAATTGTGGTGTGTGGCTATTATGGGCATTTGTATAGTTCTTTCTAATACTATATAATCGTTTCTCAATAAAGTTGATGATCCAAGTTGAATATGTCTCACTCAAAACGTTTAGCGTATTCTCAAGAATAATTGAAACCACAGTAGAATTATTAATTTGTAATTTTACTTTTTGATTTGGATGTATCTAATCTAACTCATATAGAACATACATGTATAACCACGTAAACCTAAACATGGGAGATGATCTTTTGTAATGGATTAAACCATAAAAAATAACAGAGTAATTTAATAAACCAAAACGAATTTACAAGACCAACATAAATTAAACTAAAATCTTACAAGATATTATATATATATATATATATATATGGTTCTAAATTTGGATGTCTAGCT